TTCCTGGGTGTATCTTGAACTTATGAATTATTACGTTTTTTAACAAGGTTTGAGTTTGGAGTAAGAGCAAGATGAATTATGGACCAGTTGGGTGTTGCAGATCTAAAACATTGATCCAATGGAGTAGATGAAGAATTCTCCTAGTATTCTCCGCAACCCTATTGAATGATAATGGGCTATGTTTGAAAACCAATAACTGAGCTTAATCATTTCTAATGAGAACAAAATTCCAATATTTAGACAACTGGCGAAGAGCTCACCATTAGCTACAAAAAGCATCGGTTGTCATCCCATCGCAAAATTTCTTAAAATTTTGCGATGGGATGACAACCACATATCAGTGGAGGCGTTTCCATATGTTTCAGCTCTTAGGTGTCAGTTTGACCTTGTGTGGATTAGATCACATTTATAATAAATACAACCTTGTAGATTAATTAAATAAAATTATTGTTTCTACAGAATTCATTATTTTGCCTTGGAAAACAGAAAATTTCAAATTCATTGTTAAATTCCAAAATGAAAATCATTGTAGCTGAATGCTAACTATATTTTCACCAACAGCGTAAAACATGCAGCACTTTTCAATAGAAGCAAACACCTTTCCTTGGTTCTTATTGTTTTAATCCAAATGATATTTGTAATTTATCAGAATTACAATAATCTGAATACACAATTCCCTTCTATTCCCATCATTATTTCTCATGTCTTTTTTTTTTCTAGTTGAACTATTCTGTCCCGGCTATGATGGTGGTGCTGATCTTCATCTGTTTCCAGCAACAGTCGTATGTCTCAGAGACCAACCTGCCAGCTCTAATCCTTCTGCTGCTCCTCTATGGGTATGTTTAAGCAGACATCTTTGTAATTTTCTGTAAGAAATGTTCATGTTTATAATAGAATTATTATGATTTGTGTTTTCCTCTGCTTTTAATCCAAATCCACTACATCCACACAAGATTATCATTATAAGAGAATTGCTTGATTTGGATGCATGACTGTATTCCATTTTCCCTTTCTTTGTTTTGTATTACTCTTCCTCTCTGTAAACAAAGTTTCAATTCCTTTCATTTCACCCATCCACTCCTCTCATAATCTGCATAAATACAATCTTTGTTTCTCTTCTATAGGTGGTCCATAACTCCTCTGATGTACCCAGCATCTTTTGTTTTCTCCATACCTAGCACAGCTTATGTGGTTCTGACCTCCGTCAACCTCTTTATTGGTATTAATGGGAGCATCGCCACCTTCGTACTGGAGTTGTTTGTAGATGAGGTACAAAAAGCACAAATACACTAAGAGGGAAAAAAAGGAATAATTCTGTATTTTGAAGAAAAAAGTAAAATATCTAGGGATGGTCATAAAGCATTAGAAGAGTTTAAAAGTTTAGATTTGTTAAGATAAGCTGGACTTTTATATTGTTTCACTGTGTATATGAAATACATTATCTGTCAGTCTTTCTAATGTGTTTGTTTAATGTGTTTTTTCAGCATCTGAATGAGGTCAACAGGATCTTAAAGAAAGTGTTTTTGATTTTCCCACATTTCTGCTTGGGCCGAGGTCTCATCGACATGGCTAAGAACCAAGCCCTGGCCGACGCCTTCCAGAGACTAGGTATGAATACGATGCCCTGAGATTTTCTCAGCATCTTTTCAGGAAACCCATCTAACATATTTGCTTATTATACTTTCTCTAAGGAGAATGATTTACATTAGTTGTCTGACAAAGATCCATTAGATGAAACCTGTAAAAACCCTTAGAGTTGAAGCCACCTTTCAGGGTTATTTTCATTGCTTTTTATTCTTTTTTTCTCCTCTTATTGTCAATCTATTACTGTGAGCAAATGTTTTTGTGTACAAGTTAGCATCTTCCTCCTCTTTGTGCCCACCTGTAGGAAGCAAACAGACTCTTGACCCCCTTCAGTGGGACTTTGTTGGGAAGAATCTGTTTGCAATGGCAGCTGAAGGCGTTATCTTCTTCATCTTCACCATTCTCTTGCAGTACAAGTTTTTCATTTACTATAGGTAAAGATGCCTTTTTTATTTTCCTGTTTCTAGTAGATGATTTCCTGCAATTTGTTTTTTGTTTTTGCCACAGCCGTCCTTCAGTAAGTCTGTGAACTTGTTTGTGCAGGCCGTGGTGGAAACAACCTCAGCTTCCTCCTCTGGGTCCAGAGGATGAAGACGTGGCGAGAGAGCGTGAGAGAGTTAAAAGTGGCAAAGCCCACTCTGATATCCTCACCATGATAGATCTGAGCAAGGTAGAAGTTTGATGCCGAATTGTTTCTTTAGCAGAGGAGTTTATTAAAATGCGTCAAAAAAAACAAAAATTTAAAGCTTTACATTTTGTCAGAACTGTAGTTCAACATCATTCCTGTGCGTTAAGGTAGTTTAAACCAAGGTAATCCTCCCCCAGGTTTACAAAGCAGGAAGAAAGCCAGCTGTGGATCGGCTTTGCCTCGGGATTCCCCGCAGTGAGGTGAGAGATTTCCTCAGCTAACTATAGAAGCAAAGAAAAATATAGTACTTTCCACAGATGTATTTATGTCTTTCATGCTTTTCTTCTTTTCAAGTTTTTAAAATCCGACATATAATTCATGGAGATTGAAATGCTCGTTATTGGGTAAAAACGATAAAGAAATGTTTAATAATGGTCGCTTAATAATCAGCCTTAGCTGAGCGATATGGACACTGGCTCCTTGATAGACACTTAGTTCCCATTTTAATTTCTGGTAAATGGCCAACCTCTATGCTTTTTTCTGAGTAAATCATGTTTACTGTAAGGAATTTCACACTTAAAAATGTTTTACCTGAAGATCTACAGCTAACGTAATCCTGCTTTGTGTCTGCCCTTTAAGTGTTTCGGCCTGCTAGGGGTAAATGGAGCTGGAAAAACATCTACGTTCCGCATGCTGACTGGAGATACACAGATCACACATGGAGAGGCTTTCCTCAGCCAGCATAGGTGCAGAATCTCTACCCATCTGAAATGTTTTCACTTTCTGCAGAACCGTAAACTTATTAAGTGTGCTGCATGTCTGCTTGTCAGTGTGCTGAGAGAGATGGAGCGGGTCCACCAGCTGATGGGTTACTGTCCACAGTTTGATGCGATCAGTGATCTGCTGACGGGTCGGGAACATCTGGAACTCTATGCTCGCCTGAGGGGGGTGCCAGAGGAGTCTGTCACTAAGGTAAATAAACTTTTCTGTACTGCATATTTTTAGCTTTAATCAGGGCTCTTTCACAGTGGTCCTCAGGACCAGCTGTCCTGTTTTAGATTTGTCTTTGTTCCAGCATACCTGATTACAATGATGGTATTCCCTCCTCAGCAGCCATCAATGGTCACAATGGTCAAATTTTAGTTGGGCATGTGGAGGCAGGGAAAAACATGCAGAAAAGTGGGTCCTAAGGACCAAGGTTGAAGACATCTGGCTTAAATAATGTCTAATAAAATGTTAAACAAACTGAAAAAGAGTTTAGAAAGGTTTGCAGTTGCATATCCATGAAGAGCCTGATCTGGTCTGCAGGTGGCGCAGTGGGGGGTAAGGAAGCTGGGGTTGACTCAGTATGCTGAACAGGAGGCTGGAGGATACAGCGGAGGGAACAAGAGGAAACTTTCCACGGCTATTTCCCTCATTGGGGCTCCTCCAGTTATATTCCTGGTAACCAAATCAAAACTGGTTCCTAAATGAAGAATTTTATTTGCTCTTATTTTGATTTTTATCACTATTCTGACATTTTCCTCTCTGCTTCCAGGATGAGCCTACCACTGGGATGGACCCAAAAGCAAAAAGGTTTTTGTGGAACTGCATCCTTAGTGTAACTAAAGAAGGCAGAGCTGTTGTACTCACCTCCCACAGGTATGATCCCTTCAACTTCATGCCCAAAATATAGAGATTATAATCTAAGATAATCTAAGATGATTAAAACCCCTTTTGGTTAAACCTTTGGCTAAACCTGTTCAGGAATGGAGTAATGCACTGTTTCCATTTTGTAAAGACCACATGCTGTCGGTTGCTTAAACAATAAAGTTATATTAAGTTAGAGCCAAAAACATGGGTGCAGACACGGCTGCTTTAAAGGTATAGTGGAGGATGTTCTTTTTCCAGGTGGATCATCACAATAAGTGGTCCTCCTAATTATCATCATCTTGGTGATAGGTCCTACGAGCTCGTCCCCATTTTCACTTACCGGTGGTGAGTCTGACATAGTGGAAAAATTGCAAATCTTTTAGAAAGTAAGCTTGTATGAGCGATGCAAACAGCAACTTTTAAACAGAGCGTGCATGAGGAGAAATGGGTTTCTGCACGCTCTCGCACGTGTTTAATAGACGTTACCTCCCGGGAGCGGGTACAGGGTTTTCCATGTGCATTTTTTTTAAGTGGAGAGTGCAGGTCTTTTAAAAAAATTAGCTAAAATCCTCCACAATACCTTTAAGACAGGACGAGGGGGGGTGAGGAATATAAAGATTTAAACTTTACATCCGACAGAGACTGAACAGATTTTCACAACAAACAGTGAAACACAAGCAGCTCTTAGGCAACTGAAGGAGGCATCCGCTTTCCAGCTGCTGCTGAAGCAGCCTGGTAAACAGCAACACATCAAACTGATGGGAAGCAGTAATTACCATAAAGTCTGTTTGAGTTTGTTTTTCTTCCATTGGAGAGCTGTTTGCTCTGTTGTCTGTTCTTTTAACTATTTTTGTGGCAAGTTTAGGTTCAACACTATAAAAAAAAATCCCACTAATCAGTTCCGCATTGTTCAGGGAGGGTTAAAGGCAGAGCCTAAAACTATGTCTACATAGTTGTCCAGCCTTATTGTAATCATTATTTTTTACTCTTAATTACACATTTCCATGCTTTCAATGCCAGTTCCAGAGTGATCACACTGAAAGCACTCTGCTGCCATCTAATGGTCTGAATTGAATTGCATCAGATTATTCCCATTTTCACAGAGCTACATTCCAAATAAAAAATGCATATTTTATCTACATATTGTTTGCAAGGTTATAATTATTTTGGATTATTCTTTTTAGTTTAATTTTATTTAGTCGTATTTTTTTCTCTAATTCAGTAGATTCGATTTTAGTTCAGACTTTCAAATTTTTCGTAGCTAATACAATTTTATTAGTTTTCTTTCATTCTGAAATTAGTTTATAGTCTTTTGTTTTTTGTTTTTTTTACATAGGATTTAAAAAGCTCAGACGATGTTATTAAAGGAATTATGTATTGGCGTTACAAAAACTCAACACGAGGAAAATGGTTCAGTTAGAGCTGATGTAAAAAAAAAAGTGGGGAAAAATCTATTTCACATCAGTTTCATAGACTGAAATAATTAGCACAAAAAGAAATCTTTAACTTTTGATATCATATAACTTTAGCATATTTAAGTTGATTTTATAAACACTGTTTCTGGTAGTTATCTTTGTTTCCTTTTAATTGCATTTTTGTGTTTTAATTAAAATGTTTTCTCAATTTCAGTTTCCATTTTAGCTGACCTTAATAACAACTTTGGACTTGTTTTAACATCATCTTGACATCAAAAACAAAAGTTGTTTTTGTTAAATATTATTTAAAAAAATCCCTATAGGAAAGGATTGAAACCATGGAGGAATAAAACATTGCCCATTGAAAGGAAAATGATAAATACACCAGTTTTTCCTCATGTATGTTTATTTGATATGATTTAAATTGTAACGGTTGTTCTCTGTCTGTGCTATCAGTATGGAAGAGTGTGAGGCACTGTGCACTAGGATGGCCATCATGGTGAACGGCAGATTTCAGTGTCTGGGGTCCGTTCAGCACCTGAAGAACCGGTAACCACATCCTGCACACCATGTTTTTTGTTTGTTTTGTTTTATTTTTAGTTTCAAATCAACAACAAAGCCACCTTTCAAAGATATTTATTCGTACTCAATAGCAGAGCTTTCAAAAAAATGGTCCCATCGAAACATAAATCTTTATGTCAAATTTCCACAACCCAAAGTTTTCTGTGAGACCTTTTTGTTTTCCTCTCATTTGTGGGTACCATGAGTGTCTGCTCTGTAAAATCATACTATTATGGCGCAGAAAAAAAGTGCAAATTACTTCCACCAGCCAAATAAAAGATTTATTTGCAAGTTTTAATCATTAAAAGATATTTTATAATTTTATATTTTGTTTGCAAAGATGAAACAAATAGCTTTGTGCAGTGGTACTGAGAGGTCAATAATAGTGGACATCTTTCAAACAATATGAACGAATCAAATCTTTGCTTTTCTAAATCTTTGATAATGTATGATATAAGGTGGAATGTTTGAGCTGACCACCATGTACTGCAAAAATGATCTAAAAATAAGTAAAAACGTCTCAAATTAAGGGTGAATATTCTTAATGCTGGTAAACTAAGATGATTTGCCAAAGGAGTGAGATTTTTTACTCTTAAATTAGATGATTAGATAATATGCACTTAACATAAGACAATGTAAATGTTTTTTTTTTCTTATTTTAAATGTAAATTATCTTGTTCCATTGGCAAAGTGTCTCACTTACTTCCTTAATGCAAAAAAAAAAAATGCACTTATTTTAAGAAAACATTTGTTATTTAGATTTCTATTTTTTGTCGCCTGCAACCTTGCACTGCAAAAACAATCTAGAAATAAGTAAAAATGTCTTAAATTAAGTATATTAGCCATTAATTTGAGCAGGTAAATAAGATGTTTTGCCAATGGAATGAGTATTTACCGTACACTCTTAAGATAATATAAGTAGATAATATGTACTTGAAATAAGACAATGCTATTGTTTTTTTTCTTATTTTAAATGTAAAATGTCTTGTTACATTGGCACTTAGTTCACTTACCTCCTCAATTCAAGAAAAACTGCACGCATTTTAAGAAAAACTTACTTATTTAGATTCACATTTTTTTAATCTAATGACTTTCTGACTTTTTTTTTCCAACATGTTTTATCTGGCCTCAGCATCGTGTTAGGCTTCTTTCTGAACATTATGTGTTTTCACTACAAAATAAACAACAGCTGTTTGATTCAAAAGAATTAAAAAAATTTAAAAAGGGTAATTTTCCACCAACAAAAGAGAATCATTTTACATTGTGTACTTTGGATAACATAAAGTGTTGGTCTTTTAATAACCATGCTTTTTAATTTAAGAGGAAATATGACACTTATCCAGTGTTCTTAACTGAAATCTCAGTTTAATCTGCTAAATTTGGTCTGATATTGCAAGAATTTATGGAAAAAGTGATCCTAATCCTGTTATGGATGCTGAGAATACGCTAAATCGTTTTTATTTTTTTCAATCAAACCCCCCAAAAAGTAATTGCACATCCTTTAAACCTACCTCTGGTAAATTTTAACAGATCTAATATTTGAATAATAATGCAGTTCAATGGAAAAACCTTAAGGCAAAGATGTTAAAGATTTTTATTTATATGTAATTTGTTGTGAGAATATTTGATAAATCTTCTTCCATCCTGTGGCTAGATTTGGAGACGGGTACACCATCATTCTCCGTCTGGCGGACATTAAAGCGGACCCAGAGTCCTGTCCTATCGACACCCACCTGAGGAAATCTTTTCCCATCATTGAGTTGAAGGAGAGACATCAGAACGTGCTGCAGTACCAGCTGCCATCACACGCCTGCTGCCTTGCCGACGTCTTTGACGTTCTGGGGAACAACTCTGAGGAGCTTGGCATCGTGGACTTCTCCGTCTCGCAGACAACCCTTGATCAGGTGAGGAAGACGATTCCAGCAGAGATGAAAGCCTTCATATTTCTAAAGGAACATTTGGGTGATTTTTGTCATTAAAATTGGAGAATCCTGCTGTAGTATAAAAAAAAACAGTAACCTAAAGTGATTTGTCTGGAAACTACACAGATGGGTGAACAGAAAATACATTTCCCTTTTAACTAGAACACTGGCTCCTAAAGAATGTTTTTTTTTTATGCTTTAAATTGATATTATTGTACTTTTATTGCAGGTTAAAAGCAATTTAAGTGACAGCATTTTGAAATGTTTCCAGTTTTTATTCAAATTGAGATAACTACCCTTCGTGATCTTGTGTTTTGCTGATGATTTTGTAAAAACAAAATGACAACAGTTTAAAGTCAGAAAACATCACTACTATGTTAAAAAACAAACCACTGAGCTTTGTTTTCCAAGTTTGAAGACATTTAGCTTCCCCTCCAATAAGCTTTTTCTATTAAAAATGTCTGGCTTAGCGTTGAGTTCCAAGCTTAATAGATATATATATAGCCCAACAAATCCTTGTTATGGCTTAGAAAACATGCAAACTGAACCAGAAGAATGGGTTGGCCCCTTATTAATGGGGAGTTGTTAAGGTCATTGTTGGCCTGGCTGACCAGGAAAGATGACTTGGTCCCTGGCATAGCGATCAGCTTTGAGATAATAGCGGGAAAAATCAACTCTACGCTGCGTTGTAGGTTTTTGAGAGCTGAAACTTGAGTCCCCCCACTCTATGTAAGGTCGGTTTTCCTCTCAACATAAATGGCTTCCTTCACACCCCTTTCAAAGCAACTATTTTCTTTTGTGCAAAACGTGAACAATCCAGGAATTTTGAATTGAAAAAGCTTCCTGGATGGGAGGCGAAAGTCTTCAAACTTGGAAAACAAAGTTTGAATTTTGGAATTAATATTAACTGGATAACTGAGAATCTCCAGCATTGTTATTATGGCGAACTAGAGTTATGTTTGGAAACAAATGTTGTCTTTCTATCAAGTTCATTATAACTAAACAACAGAATACAGCTGATACTAGCAGTCGCTTCGGCGAAAAAAGGTTTGTTCGTGCTGCTCTGCTTAGAGAGGATTCGATCTGTGAAACAGTAGATATGGTTGGTTTTGACTGATTCATTAAATTTTTTTTTTCCTCTTTTTTTGTAGGTTTTTGTCAGCTTTGCAAAGGAGCAGACAGATGATGACTGCCTCACAGACGTGGTAATCAGTAATGGCGCTCCACAGCTAAACCCTCCCATCAGAATAAATCCTCCCAACATTCAGCCTCAACAACAAACAACATCCCCTCAGCAGAAGAAATCTCCACAGCTTCCTTCCCAATCACCTGAAAGCAATTCGAAAGGAAGCAAACCGAGAAAAGCCAAAGCCAGAAAGGTCAGTTCCAACGGGGAAACGAGCGGCAGCGTGCCTCTGAGCAGATTACCTCAGACACAGGAAAAGCCTCCAGAGTTGGGCAGCAGCAACGGTGGAGTTCAGAGCGAGTCCAGCAAACCTCACAGGTCAAATCAAAGAGAGGAGAGCTCCAATAACGATCCTGCTGCGCTCTTTATAGTCGGCACCAACTCACAGGACAGCTCGCTGTGAGCTGTGCAGGACCAAAGACAGAGAAGACATTCTTATCTCTTGTTTATTCATCTGAATGCTGCAGAGTTCATGACAAACCTCTGTCGGTCTGTCAGAAGTCAACAGTGTTCTTCCTTTTAAACGGCTGCGGTGCCTTGTTCACCTCGTCATATATCTGTAGCTTTAGAACGGTTAAAAATGCCTGAAAGTATCAGTTTTATCTCCCTGAAGTAACATTTTGCTCATATTAAAGAGTGCTATGCAGGGTGGAGTGCAGAAATGGGGAGTTTTTTTCTCAGGTCTCCTTTAGACGATATTTTCCAGTTGATTTATTTATTCTTTCCGGAAAGCACTTTAAGCAAGATGCTGCAAAGATTCATAGAGTAGCAGATTATGTGTAATTTTATGGGGATTTTACAGATATACGTTTGTAGAGTGGTGGAGGTTATTACAAGACAGTTTACAGCAGATTTTACCTCTTTGTTTCATTATTATGTTCTTGTTCTTTGCATCATTTTATTTATAAATTTATGTTGTGAGTTTTATAGTTACTTTCCAATAGTGGGTGTTATTTATATTTTTTGTTTTCCTTTTTCCATTTATCTGTATTTTGCATGTTTATAAATGAAGTCTAGAATGACTACATTGAAACAGATGTGGCTCCTAATGATTTTTATCAAAAGATAATTTGCCAAACTGTTCAAATTCAATCAGTGATAAAGTCCTGATTAGTAAAAAAACACTAAGCTAAAAGGCTTTGAAGAACTAAAAATCCGTTTGGTTTATTGCTGAATGTCTGAAGCACTGTGATGCACTGTTACATTTTCAAATATTTAAAACTATTTTTCATTTTAACATATTTAAAATATTTCTGTGTTGTTTAAGACTAAGGACAAGTATGTGAGCTTTCATTCCAATATCTCCATGACTATAATTTAAACATGGAGCTAATTGCTGATTTTTCAGCTTTTTTTTTCTTTTCTTTTTGTCTTTTCCTGCTGCATGTCAAATCAAGTAAAGCTGAACGAGCAACTTTAAAAAGAAAGCTTGCATTGCTGAATGTAAACTCTTACTTGAAAAAAATAACATATATCTGCTGTAAGATCTGAATTATATTCTATTAAAATGACATCCAAAAAAAGCATAAAAAGCCTATTCTGAATGTTTTTTGGTGGAAAAAATAAAATTATTTAATTTGTCAAATTGTATAGTTCAAGAATTTTTTCTTCATCAAATGAAAAGAGAGATGTTGGCCTGTCTGCTTTGTATGAGGAAAATATAAATGGTTTCATCCCATTACCGAAGAAACCCCAGAGGTCATATTTGTGGTAACGAACCCTTATTGTGCACTACGTTCACAATACAACATGGACGAAATATTCCTTTCTTTTTTTATATACTGTAAATAACTAGAAGTACATTTTTAGACGCACAGGTTTGACTAGTGAAACCTTATTTTCTGGCATCCCAGAGGAGGTGCTCTGATTGCACCGTGCATCCTCACCCCTCTTCCTCTTCTTCAGTTTACGTGTAAATGGTGAAGAATGCATAAAAATCAAGTCTCTGCACTCAAAATAATAATTCATCTAGAAAAAGAACATTTCTGTTTAGATAAAACCTTGGAATTGGCCCTGTGCATTTGATTAAAAAGGCATTTTGTCTCTGATTTGTAAGCTGATATAGATTCATGATGATCTATAGCCTTCAAAGGAAATGACTTTGACTTTTTAGCAGTGCAAACTCAGATTAAGATTTATTTAAATGTTTTAAGCAGAAAGGACCCTAAATATTTAGCTGCATTAAGAACAGGTCTTGTGTTACTTTTAATGTTGAAGCTCTCTTAAATGAAAAAAAGGACAAATGAGGTCCAAAATAATGTTTAACTAAGTAAACAAATAAATCAGAAAATCAGAATATGTCCAAAAATTATATCTAAAATCAATCATCCTTCACTCTTCTTTACCACACTTTCACACCGTCTGCAACACAGATCTATGCAGGTGCTTTACGTTAGGTTTTAAAAGGCATTTTGGAATTTTAATAGTGGACTAGAGCAATAAAAACGCAGATTGTAGATGTCTTTGTTAAAACATTGTGGTCCAGGCATGTCAATGACAGAACGGTAAAGCGCCCAAGGGAATATGCAGGCCTTAGTCCCATGGGGTTTCTTCTAAATAATGGTAAATGCCACTTCTGGTAGATCCACCATCTCCCTACTCAGTTGTTGTCCATCGTTGATACACGCTGCACAACAAAAGAGTCATCTAAGTATTTCCTCTCCACAAAGACTGAGCTTCCTTTTCCAGATTCCCATCATCTAGGAAGAGCAAATAGAGCAGACACACCAATAAATTACCCACCTCATGAGGCCTAGGGCTGCAACAATATACACATCTTATTTATCATATAAACCTGGCAAGAGGGCTGCTGTCTTGCAGGGTTTAGAGGTTTTCCTGCTTCAGCACAGCTGTTTCTGATTACTGCATTTCAATAACAGCTTGTTAATCAGCTATCAATGGAAATCAGCTTTGCTAAAGCAAAAACCTCTAAAACCTGCAGGAATGCACCTCTAGAGTGCTGGCTTTGGGCCATCCTGACCCTGCTGAGTGTCTGTGGGGCATCCTCAACTAGTGGTGGCAGTTTCGAAGCCCCATGAACCAACACAACAGGCCAAAAGTCGAAACATATGAAACACTATTGAATGGAGGCATCTGCTGGATAGCTATGAGAACTACATTTGAGCCGACATCCATTAGCGGAATGTTGTGTAATTATACCTTATAAAATCATACTTTAGGCCACAAGAATGTGGGAGGAGTGTGTGCTTCTGCAACTTGGATGGTGCTTGTGTAACTTGTGTCCTGCTCTCCACATCATCGTCCGCCATGGTGTTTGTTTTTCTTGCCGCTTCTCTGTAGCAAGAAGCAGAATAGTAACCTATGTCAGTTACTAATGCCGTTGTGCAGACACAAGCTACGTTTACATGGACACAACTAATCGGATTGAAGGCCTGATCAGATCAAAAATGTTTCATGTAAACATGTCAGACTGAAGATTCTAATCCGATTCGGTCCGATCGGATCTAAATTTAATTCCGAATGAGAGAAGTGGTTTTTGCCGATCGCCATTCCGATTGGCGTCCATGTAAACACCCATTCGGATCTTAAGAGTAAAATAATCTTCACTGCGCATGTGTGCGACGTCAGCGTGACGTTTTTCCGCCTTGTCAACAACAGGAAACCACCAGTCGCTCTCGCTCTCGCTCTCGCTGTGAACAACATGGCGGGGGGAGTCTAGGAACGCCGACTTATACACTCAAGTTCATTTAAAGCTGCAGGAAGCAGGAATTTATCCTCCTCCTCTTCCTCTTTTCTCTCTCCACAGCCCACTCGCTCTCCCACGCCGGTTCAATCGCTCATTCTCTACATTTTCTCTCGTACATTTCGCTGCCAAGCGCTTTTTTCCTCCTCTCTTCTTTTTTCTTTCCGCTCGCTCCGAGCGCATCGTTTGTCAGGCCTCCCAAAAACCAGACGCAGACAGAACTGCCAAGTTTGGCAGGAAGTTCTGCGCATGCTTAAAAGATTTAATCTGATCCAACGCTTGGTACATGTATACACACGTCATGATCGGATCATTTCATTTAGTGTCCATGTAAACGGAGATTTTGAATTTCCGATCAACCAAGGTTTGGATCGGATCGGGGAAATTTTGCGCATGTAAACGTAGCTAGTGATCGCATTTTAAAAGATCAGATTCGTATTGGATTCAGGACAACATAGCCAAGTGGCCTGGGTCGGATTGGGAAAAAAAATCAGATCTGTGTTGTTCTGACTGTCATGAAAAGATCAAATCCAGGTCGCATGTAGGCAATAAAATCGGATTTGGGTCGCTTTAGGCTGCAGTGTGAACTTAGCCTTTGTTGTCAAGTAAATGTTAATATATGATGTTTTGAATATTCCACTTGAGAGTATTACTGTTGCCACCATCTGTAATAGAGGGAAAAATGGTAGGGGTGGCCAACGATTGGCTAAGGGTAGCAATGGCCACCCCTGCCCCCCCATCTAGCTCAGCCCCTGCTACAAATTACTCCAATTTAGATGTTTATGCATTCATTGTTTTTTAAAAGTAGGATATTAACCAAAATGATCCAAACGTATAGAAATGTATCACCCCGTGTAACTAAATAGAAATAAAAAAAAAAAAAAAATAAAAATATATCCTGACATACAGTTTCCATTATTTCAGGTTGATATAATATTCTATATTAAATTTTAAGTTGTTTTTTTTAAGCAGTGTGTTTTTGGTTGTGTAATCGTGTTTTTTCCCTCCTTTTATTCGCAGTAACAATGTCTGTACAGTAGGATGAAATGAGTCGTGAACAGCGCTGCGCTTTCGGCCACTTTCTGCTGTAACAAACAGCTTCACTGTAAGGCTAGCAGCCAGAAGCTACCATTTATTAGCACCGCTACATTTCTATCTGCTGCCTTTTATTCTGTAAATATACCGCTGGCCTTGCACTTCTGTCCCAATATACCTGAATAAAATGGTCGTTTTGACAGATAATGAAGATCAGGATTACATGTAAGTACTGAGTTTCCTCATTACTTTAGCTAGTTAGCATTAGCACGGACCATAGTTTACTTAAAATGTAAATAAAGGAAGTATGCAATAATATTTCTTAAAACATAAATTCGTCTGGGCTTACTGACTTATTTATATAAGCTTTCAATGATTTGAGTCCACGTCGCAGTTTTACATATAATAAAAGATTATCTAATTGCCCTTGTTAGCCCTTTAGCAGCTAGCTAACAACTGGCTAACTTGTTTACGTTAACTGTTAGTTTTTTATTTTGTTTTGTTTTTTAAATCACTCTTACCATTATTGTTTCAACATCTGAAAATGACAGCGTTAATGCGTGTTTGATGATTAATGAAACACATTTATTAGTAAACCGAGCAAATAGCTGTCGTAAATGTAATATGATACGCTAGTTTGTCTGTCTTTTAATGTAATGAGAAATTGCTTAATATAAAATAATGCAAAATCAGATGCAGTCTATTAGGATACTATTAACTTGCAAAGATTAAGAATTAAGAATTGCATTTTATGTGCAGAGAGCCCAGCAGAGGCGGGGCAGGACCCTAGCATGAAACCCACTGACCTACATCTTATGCAGGAGATTCACATTTCACTGCCCTGGACTAGTCTAGCTTACTGGATTGATACACTGGAAAGCATTACAGATACAATTATAAATTATACTGCTTTTGATATTCTTGCTTTTTATTAGCTACATACTTTTATCTTTATTTATCATAGCTTTCCAATTAAATTCGTCCTCTTCATTTAACCCATCTCTTAGGGAGCAGCTGGCTGCCCCTGTGCAGCACCCAGAAGCATTCTGGGAATAAAGGGTGTGTTCAGGTACTCAAAGTGGAAATGTTTAGAGATCAAACCAGGGAACTTGCAGCCTTCACCAGATGCAAGCATCTGTCTCTAAAGACTAGGCCAGCGTTGCCCCCACAATCATGACATCATTGTATAATTATATTTGAATTTAACATTTTGAGTGCAATGTAGCATTTGAGGGACGTTAAATTGACTTCAGCTTTTCTGCACTCTGCCAGCAAGTTTTTGTCCACAAAGAATCTGCAGTGGTCTGCTGAGGAAATCTAAATTGGTTCAATTCAGTTTATTTCTATAGCACCAATTCACAACATATGTCATCTCAAGGTATTCTACAGAGACAATTTAACCAGATCGCACAGTCAGATTGGTTCAAAGTTTTCTATCTGAAGAAAACCAGCTGATTGCATAAACTCATTGACTTTTCAGCATCCCTCCCACCAAACATGCTTGTAGCGACTGAAGAGGAAAACTCCCTTTTAACAGGATGAATTTCAAAAGAAAATTGTTGTTTTTTTCTACTATAACACTCACTTTGGTTTCCATGACTTAGAGTGACATCAGTTGATAATTTTTTTCTCCTTAGATGTGTGCCCCTAACTGATAAATTAGTTATCTATGTGATAACACTAGCTGCAAACATTTAGTTTGATTTGGTTTCATTTTTTTTGTGAAATGGAACATTCCGTTTTTAGCAATTGATTAAATCCAATATTAAAAGGGTTAACTCCATGTTCTTC